TTAAATTATTCAAAAATAAATACTTTTATTTTAATACTTTTATGTACAAACATATGTACATATCATAACAATAAGTTTTACTAAACAACTCGACAACTATTCATTATATGTACTTCAGATCACTAGCGGATCCAGGATTTAATTTTTTTTTGGGGGGGGGGCTTCAGCCCGAAACCCTTTTTTTTTTTTCTTAAAAATAACGATAATTACTTTGGAAAAACAGAAAGAAACTAACTACCTATATGAAATGGTGTTTAAGTTATTCCTTAAGTACTTTTAAATGTAATTACACGAATAATAATACTTTAAGAGGTATTTTTAAAAAAAAATTTCCCATAAAACATGGTTATATTTTTCCATTTTGGGGGGAATTCAGCCCGAAAGCCCCTCCCCCGTAGATCCGCCCGTGCTTCAGATTATGTATATATTATTTTAGTTTATAAAACAGGTATTGATATGACTCATTTCCGAGGAGTATATACAATTTAAATTACCTCTAACAATCAGTAAATATACAAAATAAAGTGTTAAATTGCAAACGTTAAATAAAAAATTCAAGATATTCAGCAAAGTATTTTTAATTAAGTTTTATTATTATAATTATATCATTTTTGCAATAGATGTCTACTTAAACGACCTCCGTATATAATAAAGTAAGTTAAATAAAAAAATTAAATAAAATAATAAATTTAAAAAAATTATTTAATTTTTTTTAAAAATTATTTAAAACCAATATAATGTACCTAAAACGTTATTATATTACTATAACTAAGCCATTTATGTGTACAGAATGGTGTGGTAGAGGCTTGTAGGCACCTCCGCCGGCACCGCTTTTCTCCCGCATAAGTGCATTTTCTAACGGAACTGCTTCAAATATTTTAAAAAGTAATCAGTGTTTTAGAAAGAGAAATATATTCTCCAGATGTTTTATTTCAGTACATTTTGCCTTATTGTTGGCCGTCTAATTACAAACGACGCTTGATTTTCAACTTGAATTTTTTTTTGTTAAAATTGTTTACTTTACTGGTGTTTTTTATTGCCTAAGCCAATTATTTTTTAATATTTGTTCATGTTTTATTATTCTCTGACTATGCAGCTTCAATAAAAAACCAATCATGATGAAATTAAGCCAAGTGCTGATTCTCAGTGACCAAAAAACTAACTATAGTCAAAGTCGTCAATCCAACATATTTGGACGCCATTTTGGGGCAATGCGTTCACTTTTTTTTGTGGGAACATTGGCTTTTTCTTTAATAAATAGTTACAAGGAACACAACGATATGCAATTTATAGGGATGTGGGGAAGGGAGGAGGGTGCACGATAGGGGGGTCTGACCCACAGACTAATAGGAGCAATTGGTGGAGGCTTGTACAGAAGGCCACGACCTTTAAAATAGAGGCCAATATGAATAGAATAGAATCTCTTAAAGTATTATTGTTTGTGTAATTACATTTAATATGACTTCAAGAATCACTTTAAGACCATTTCATATAGTGTAAGACGGATGCCAGAAAAAATAATGTATAATTACAATTGAGCTTCTGCGAGTATATTATGTTGTTCAACCTGCATGGAACTACATCTATGAGCTAAATGACATACAAACTTAAATATAATCTACTAAAATACTAACTACAATAAATATATTAATATTCACAATAAACAGAAACTCACTAATAAGAAAATCTATCAAAATAACAATGTGCATATAAATAACAATAACAACATGAACATGCTAGATATATTTCTGTATAATGATAATAATTATCATTATAATGATAATAATGATCATTAACTATCAGATAATTAATAGACGGCTCGAGAGATAAATATGGTAAAATAATATCACAGGCAAAAATAGTCCAACTCCCAACCAGACGTCAACCTCAGAAGGTATCGTATTCTTTGACGTCCTAGAAAGATATCCTCACTCAACAAACAAAAAGAAACAACTATATAATGTCTTTATGTCGATCGATTCATAACGTTGATAGGAAATCGATAATAATAATGATCCCTCATTACTGAACTACACAAGGTAGTTTAGTTTGCGTACGAAATGTACCAGTAAATATGTTACCTGCTCTTGGGGATTTACTCTAATAAAGGTGTATTCTTCTGTTGGCTTCTATATAACAGATTGTAGTGTTGACATGCGAGACATGGTTCCTTCACTATTTTTTCGAACCTTTCTACTGTTTCCTCAACTCAGTGTAGCCACCGGTGATAGATCGCAGCTCCAAATCCTCCAATATAGGTCCTCCCCCTCACATATAGATATTTAGCGTCTTTCTTTTTTTCCAAAGTAATTATCGTTATATATTTGAAAAAAAAAAGCTTTCGGGCTGAAGCTCCAAAAATTATATCCTGGATCCGCTAGTGACTTTGTGGATTTTTTCTCCATTTATTTTTTCTGTCAACTTTCAGGATTTCTATTCTAACATATTTTTCATATTTGTGAAAATATAAAATTAGTGGCAATATTTATATTGATTGTAATTGTATTAAAAACTATAAATAATTATTAATTATTTCCGGAAACCTTATTTTAAGACAACGAACGAAGATTGAAATTTCGTAACATATAACAAAAATGAATAGTTATAGACAGAAAATAAAAAAAATATATATTTTATGAGACTACCTACAATTCCAAAACACAAAATAAATTTATTTTCCCAACACAACTGTAAAATTTACTTACTTACCTGGTTCTGGAGCTCATTTAACTGGTGCCTCATTTATCTAAGGATGCACTGATGTTTTTAATACAATTCTTAAGAATAGTCTAAATTAAAACATTATTCATATTTAAATTCGAGCGTTATGAATTATTCATTTTATGTGAATAGTTACCAATTCGATGTAATCAGCTTGAGGCCATTCCTCATATCGGATTTTCTCTGAAAATTGGAACCAGAACCTCCGAAGAAATCCAGCCAAAATCGTAAAGATTATAATGTACACTCCAATTAATCTGCAATTTGAATAGATATTTACCTCAGAGGTTAACTTCCTCTATATTTAAAAATATCTCTATAATATAGGATTACTTTGAACATGATTTATAAAATCCCTAAAAAAAAAAAAAAATTAAATCCTGAAATTCTAATTTTTTTTTTTTTATCTTTAATTTAGGGAATCAGGGAAAATTCTAAAGAGGAATTCTGAAAAAGAATCATACTTTAAAACGAAACTCAAAGAACATGTAGCAGTACTCTACATATCTGTTCTACTCAAATCGGTACCAAGACATATGTCTCAGGAATGTGTCAAGAAAATAAGCTCTAAACATTAATTTAACTTTTATAATGGCAACACAAATTGACGGGTGGAATGGCAGAGCAGATTAGAATGCTTACAATAGGTAATCAAAGTTAAGCAACGTCCAGCGAGGTAAGTACTTAGATAGATAACAGGCCGAATCGGGTAGAGAAAGGCAGGCTCCCCCATCTCCTCCGGTATGAGTGGACCTTCAGCCAACTGGAGGCAACTAACACCGACCGGATGTGACAAATAATGCTACCCTTTGGGGGCGGGGTAGCCCCATTAATAATGTATATGTAAACTTTTTTTTGGAGGAAAATAAAATTGTAATAGAAGTTAATTTGTTTTTTTTTTTTTCTTACCCTCCAAAATGTTTATTGAAACAATTACATATATAGTATACAATAATACAATATATACATGCAATAAATTCCTTCCACTGCCCGAGGGCATATAGAAGTTAATGTTCACAAATTTTATCTTATTAAAACAATTGTGAATATAATTTTTTGTGGGATTAGCCGATGTGTGAACAGGTATGTTATACTATAATTAACATATCTATTCTTTCATAATATGCTTTAGTTTTGGCTAAAGGTAATGAAGAAGGATTTAAATAAAGTTGTTTTTGACACATCTTTATCATTGTTGCTTGATGATGAACTTGACATATTTTACATTGGTGTCGAATCCTATAGGGAGGATGGTAACACATCCAATGTTTTAAAGGGTCCCTTTCATACCCAAAAATATTTTGAATCTTCTGTATGTTTATGATGCTATGCAAATATAAAAATACTTAAAATCTTACATAATTGTATTAACGAATGCCTAAGCACAAAAAAGTTAAATATTAGAAGAGAAGGATGTTTGGAATGATCAGTCAAAATAAGAAATAGTAATTACATTGATTTTTATTTGCCGATGTTTCAGCCTTCATCAGGGCTGGTCAATCTAACAAGCGCAGAAAGACTCAGTAAAAAATTGATAATTAAAGTTATTTTTATATATTTGCCGACATTTCAGCTGGAAGTGCAGGCCTTCATTCATAGATTGACTAGCCCTGATGAAGGCCTGAACTTTGGGCCGAAACGTTGGCAAATATATAAAAATAATTGTAATTATTTATTTTTACTATTTCTTATTTTGACTGATCACCCCAACCACCCTTCTCTTCAATTATTCACTACAGTCAACCATTAATCCACAATTAAGTAAAATATTATTATCGTATGCACATTTATACATTATCAAAACCATTGCGAAGACGAGCATTTAAAAGTATAGTTGTTCTTGGCTCGCGTTTGTTTTCCTGTGGGACTTTAGATAAAGGAAATGTTACTGTTTATGAGTAATGAAGTTTTAAAAAATTACCTTACTGTAAAATGTCTCATACACATGTATTTAGAATTTTTAATTGAGCACACAGTTCGCGAATATTAAGTTTTTTTCAAGTGTTTGTGACATTTTGCCAATCAATTCTGTAGAACAAAAGATTAAACCTGTCCCGACCAACTAACCGAATTCCCACTATACATAACTGATGACATTTTAAGCAATATACTGAAAACTGGGAGCATATAAAATACTTGCTTGGCAACATGTATGTAGACATAACTATCAAAATAATTATTTTCAACACTTTCCAAGAGTAGAATGCATCAGGATTATTACATCTTACAACTAATTAGAGCTATCTAAAATAGAAAAGTGAGGAAAAATAATATGTTGTATAATATAAAAATTTATTAAACATTAATAGTTCAATGAAAATTACAAAACATGTTTGGTGTACAGTTGCCATTGTAAATTATTAATACAACAATTTTATATAAATTAATAACAGTAAGAACTGCTCCTAAAATTTAACAATAACTTATTGAATGTCATTTAGCACAAGAAATTTAAATGGTACACAGTACAATATAAATAACATTACCTAATGTATTTTCCATTAGTCACTTAATTTGTGCGAATTGGAACCAGCCACAACATATCAAGTTAGCAGATGGTAGATTTGAAACCTTTAAATGAGTATTAAGGTTATCGATTTGGCCAAAATTATGCTATCCATAAATCATATCATAGCAACTTAACTCACTTTACTTCATCAGCTTTTCATTAATTATCAGAACTTAAATTTGATAATAAATAAACTAAAGAGCTTTTTTTATCTTAAAAAGGAACTACATTGGTTGACTTTTTTTTTTTTTAATTTATATTTCTACCTTAAACTGTCATTCAATCAAAGCATTGGATTATAAGATTAGACTTAAGGCTGTAATAATGTATTTTTACACCTTACAGTTGTAACTAGTTAGTTAGTGCCACCTTAATAATAAATTAAATTAAAAAATCATAAATGATTATAAATATAACAGCTTATCACAGAAACTTCATAAAATAAAACATAATAATATGTAACATTGATTAACATGATTTTGTAAATAAATTAACATAAAAATATATTTTGTGTTACATAAAAATGATAATTATTCAATAACACCAAGCAAACAATTTCAGAGTATGATAAAATTTTTAAGGAAAGCCATACTAAAACTTTTACATTTAGGATATAAAACGAGCTGTTAATAATGTAACTCAATAACAGTAGTTAGTGTAAAATGTAACTACGAGAGATGACATAAAAGCATTTACACATTACATACCTTCCATAGGCTCGTAAAACAAATAAATGTTGACAGTAATCCACTTCATAACAAAAATTGTGTTTCTAGTACAAGTCAAAATTTAATATAAACTCAAAGAATTCCAAACAATTTAAATTCAACACATTAATTTCCTTTTATAAAAAATACCACACTAATACATCTTATAAAATCCTTACATTTCTGACAAGGCACGGCATTTTAATTTTTTTCCTTGAGAAAACCCAAGTAACAGGAATAAGTTTTAAAAAATAATAAAGTTAGTTTTCCAACAAACTTCAAGATGGTTATTCTCTGCTGGGTAAAAATTTTAAAACTTTTAAAAAGCTTTATAGCTGCGATCATTGAGATTCTTTAATCATTTAGTTCAGGTGGAGCGTCTTGTTCATCTTCGGCTATTTCTTCAGGAGGCCGCGTCCACTTTATTAACGTCTCTGGAGACCTGTATAGGAAGACCAATTTCGCAAAGAGGTCCTCTTCAAGATCCAAATCGCCGCTCTCTCTCACAAGATAAATATCCAAGCATAGCTGTTGATTATTATACATTTATTAATCATCATGAAATGATAACAATTTAAAAAATAAATAAATGAAGTAAAGTTAATTAACAAAAAGTTTTATTAACAAGTCTCAGATTATTCTATACATATTTAGTTTCATCCATTAGTTTATAACTAGGAGAGCACCCCTGTCCAACCTCCATTTTACAAACTATACAACTGTTCATTTAATTGTATTTCTTGTTGCTCAAATTGTATAACTTTAATTATGAAATTCAGACTGTATTATTTTTTATCAATTTAAAAAACTATTTCCCATACATATTTTCAGTCTAAAATATTTATTTTGCATTACGAGAGTAGAAGATAACAGGAGCTCAACACATATGTAATTAAATAAATGGCTGTATGATTTGTAAAATAATCGCCAAGCTCCTGTTATCTCCTACTATCCTAATAATAAAATAAAATATGAAAGTCACTAAAAACAATTTTATATAATAGAGAGATATAAGTTATGTTTACAATCAGTAGTATAAGTATAGCAAAGTCCCATCAAAAGTATAGATTAAATAGAATTTTCTATAAAATACCGATTCTAAATATTATAGCAATTTTTTCTTCCTCATAAATAAAACTTTTCCTTCAGTATCATTTTGTTTTCAATACTGTATAATATATACAATAATCTATATAAATTTATCACATTTGATATGAGAGAGGATTAAAATAACATATATGTGATCAAAATTCAAAAATCTATTTATTGTAAACTACCACAAAATAAACCATAGAAAATGGATGTGATAATGTACAAAGTTAAAGTTCTAATATGTGCATTATTGATTTTGTTGAATCTAATAATTTTTTTTTTAATAATGTCATTTTTATTTTTAGTCCTATTCCTATCAAAACTATGTAATTACTTATGAATTATAAAATAATTTTATTTTATATGAAGGACATTAGAATAAAATGAGACGTATTTAGTACAGTACACTACTCAATTGGTATTGGTATTCAATTGGTATCCCGGATTTTAAAAAATCAGTAACTATTTTTCCAAAACAAGTTAAATATAATTAAACATTAAAAATAATCCATAAATAATAATAATAAATACCTGGAGCAATCGATCGACATTAGGCATGTCATCAAACATAATTTTGAATGATATTCCAGTAAAAAATCCTCTGATTACAGAGTGTATGACGATTACAAATGTGGTGTACAATCCGATAATTCTGAAAATCATAAATATAAGTACAGATGAAATAATATGCAATAATATAAAACACATGATAAAAGACTTTACCTTCGAAGGTATTGAGAAATCTTCAAAAAACACATGCCACATTTAAATGTTATAAAATTATATTATTCCATGCAAAATATAAGCTTGAATAAATCAACATGTATTTGACGAATGACAGCATTTGACAATATTGTATCTGGCACAGAGGCAAAACCATCATCAGGTTTGATTGATATTAGAGCGAGCCTCTAGAAATCTTTGACTCATCTTAGAAACATACTTTAATATGATTAGACTTAAGGTAGGTTGTATTATAACATTATATACATCCAGATCAATGAAATTTTCTGATGGAGATAATCAACTATAAAATAAATCCATCAAAAAATTGTTTAATTTTATGGGGCTTTTTTGTAATCATTTATCTCCATCGACTTAATATTGCAAATACTAGAGCCAAATCGCTCTGAAGTAAACCATTTGTATTATAATCAGCTCAGTGTGGAAGTGCCCGAATGGGCTAACGCATGGGCAAAACATGCATTACCTAGCAACCTAATGAACTGACTATAACATGATAACATAATTATGAATATGAATCCCAGTGCTGGGGAAATTTTAAACTCTAAAATTAATCCCTCATCCCCTCCCCTGAACTAAGCCATATACAGCTTAAAAGTTGAGAAAGAGAGAAGGGAATAAAAAAAAAAATCAAATTATTGCAAACAGGTTTGTAATCAATAAATTCTCTTATAGGTTGTGAGGAAAGTCCTGTTTCAACTCAAACATTGGCCATTGTTATCGAACTTCTTCCACACCCACCAAACAGTTCAGACTTTGTTCCATGTGATTTTCATTTGTTTCGATCCATGACTCACTTCTTGGAAGGAAAAACATTTAATACATTTCACCAAGTCGAAATGCCGATTTAGGAATTATTCGATAGCCATTCAAAAGAGTGATACCTACATGGAATCAATTAACTGCCTAAAAGAACGGAAATGACAGTGCACTACCACAATTGGGTTATATTTTGAATATTAATACCACAATTGAGTAATATTTTGAATATTACGACCACAATTGGGTCATATTTTGAATATTACTACCACGAGCGGGTTATATTTTGAATATTAAGTTTATTAAAGAAAAAATATATTAATTTTTTATTGAAAAACAGTCATTTTTTCTATACTGCCCATTATTTAATAACATTAATTTTGGTGATATTAGATATTTTTAATAAAATTTATCAATTGCATAATGAGTTCTGTAATTAGTAGAAAATTTTCTTTGATATCTATAGCTCAAATCCGGCCAATATTTTTTTTTTTTTTTACATTCCAAAAGAGAACTGAGGTGTGAGGTCTTTATGTAAAGTCACATTTCTATTCGGTAAATTTGAAGCGTGCTTGCATTGAAAAAACAAATGCAATATTATTAGTTAATTATTGTAATAAATCTTATATATTATTGAATTGAAAGGAAGACTATTGACACCTGTATCTATCCAAATTTTCCTAATATTAAATTAAAATTATACCATGTGTTGCGATGATTATTTTGATTAGAAAAACTTTTTTTTTTTTAAATATTGTTAATAATAATAATAATAATAATAATAAGGCTTAGCGAACCCGAAGGTTCGATGCCGACACCACCAATCGCTTGTTACACACCTCCCTCCACCGTTCGCCGTCCAAACCCAGTTCCTTCAGATCAGCTTTAATGCAATCTTCCCACCTTCGCTTCGGTCTACCCCTCGGACGCTTACCATTCGGCACAGCAAATATTCACCTTTTAGGAATTCTCTCGTTACTAAGCCCAACAACTTTACAAGCCCATTTGATTCGCCGCGATGAAATTACCTCAATTATATTACCCGGATACAGCTCACGCAATTCGGCGTTGTGTAACCATCTGAACTCTCCGGTTAACTCATCCTTCTTTAAATATTGTTAGGAGCACGTAAAACCAATATTGGCTTCTTAATGGCTAACATTGATCAAACCTTTAAAAGCTGGAAAGAGAAGATTTTAAACTTTCTCATAAGGTCTACAGTTTCAAAAACTACTAGTAACAATAAGTTTATAAATCTTAAACTACTTCTGTTGTTCTCAGATATCAATAAAATGGAAATTCTTCCTTAAAAGTTCCTGGTGATAAACTAATTTTTTAGCTGTAGCTATGAAGTGAATTCATAACAAGAAATGTTAATAAATTGCATAAAAAATTCAAGAGTTTGGAAATTAAAAACATTTTAGGTTAAGATTAGGTATGTTTTTTTAAAAAATTATATTCATTGAAATTTAACTGCGTTATTACAAATAAAATACAATAAATAAATGTGAACAGAAAAAGAATAATAGTATAAGTAGGCTTGTTGAGAAACCAATCATTGGTAGCACTACAATAATATTTCTAAATTAGAAGATAACGAGACCATCTTTGTTTCAGATGATCAGGAGGAATATTAAGTATCAAGGTTGGATGGGTCTGGCACTTATTATGGAGAAGTAGACATCTGGATCGGGCCAAATCAGAGGCAAAGGGTAATAAAGTAAATTAATAATTAATGATGATAAGTAAGGTATTCAATTATAAAATCAAAAAATTCTTAAGATTGTAAAGTTTAAATAAATAAAATATAACTACGTTCGGAAATACTAATAAAACACATACCCCTTTCCAGAGATGAGATTCAGAGTTGCAGGAAACGCTTTATCGTTGAAAGTGTAAATTACAACCTTATTTTCACAATCATTATGAGGTAGATACTTAAGAAGATTTTCATAAGTAGAATCATCACATTGTTCATAAAGGTCCCAGAACCATGGGACCGTAGGGCTGTGGACCGGTTTTATAGAAACATTTCTTAAAAGTTGAGTAGAATGTGATTCATCATCTAGGCAAAAAAATAAAAAACTCATCAAATTAAATATATAATTCAAAATTAAGTATAGGAAGGTGGATCAGCTATAAATGGTAATTATTTATTCATACATTTATTGATTAACTATTATACCTGTGTAAAAACTCTCGAATCAGATATCTATCTATCTTTTTTATCCCTAATTGAAGTATAAACAATATTAGGAAATTTTTTTCTTTTGTACAAAGAATAAATACTATCAAGGAATAGGTGTAACAATCTCGCAATTTATCATCCTAAAACCCGTGCATCCCCATCCTACCGTACTATCAATAAAATTGATTTAACACACAAAATTCATACATTTCTCTTGGAGTGCTGCAAAATTACTTTTCTGTGTCTTGTAGCCCATTTTGGTTGCTTTTGGATCAATGCATAGTTAAAATTGACCATTTGTTGATGATATCAACTGTTTCAGAATATCATGTTACAAGACACCCTTCTGATCCCACCAAATGAACAGCATTCATTGTCTTCTATACAAAGTGGTTCAGTCTTAAAGTCGATGTTGCTGATTGTCCTTGGTCAACTGATGATTTTCTGAGTTTTGGGTTTCCAAAATATATATACTCTTTATTCATGTTCAGCCATGATCTGATGCACAAAAGTATTTCTTTTATACCAAGAAAGTATTATTTCTTTGTAAACCGTTTTATGTTTTTTCATCTGTATGTCGTTCAACAGATATGGCACTAGCGGATCCAGGATTTAATTTTTGGGGGGGGGGTGCTTCAGCCTGGAAGCTTTTTTGTCATATATAACGATAATTACTATAGAAAAACAGAAAGATACTAACTACCTATATGAAATGGTGTTTAAGTGATTCTTTAAGTCCTATTAAATGTAATTAAACGAGCAATAATACTTTAAGACAGAATTTTTTAACACTTTTTACCATAAAACATGATTACATCTTAACATTTTGGGGGGGGGCTTCAGCCCGAAAGCCTCTCCCCGTAAATCCGCCTGTGAGATATGGTACCCATTTTCCTGCTTTCTGGATCTTTCCCATGATATGTACACAAATGGTCCGGCAACCGACATTTAACCTCTCTGCCATTTGTTGTTAAGTTTATGTCTTGGTTCAACAACAATTGCAATTCAGAATCATGAAATTATTTCAATTGATCTGGATATTCTTTGTCTTTCGAATCAAAATCATCACTTTTGAATCGTTTAAACTAGAGGTATCTAAACTTGAAGCTAATAAACCCTAATACTAGGACATTGTCTCCATAAGACATCCTCTCTGTAAGCTTCTACGATGGCTTTCACTTGCATTTTTCTATTAATTGATCTTTTAAACATCAATGGTGTTTTGAAAACTACTTTCATAGCAACGAAATAACTAAAGAGGTTAGAATATGAACCAATCCTTCAACTATTTCTTCATTATTATAAATATTTTATAATTAACATATAAGTGTAAGTACTATAAGGAAAAATTTGCTCATTTGCTTTCTTCATAGACCGTAAGATAATATGATCACAAAATCGAGAAAAAAGGTGGCCTTCAAAAATATTGAGCCGTTTGGCGTGAACTACACCTCCAACTTTTCAAAATAACGATGTTATATAGAACAAACGGCACAATATTTTTGAAGGCTACTTTTTCTCAATTTTAGGATCAAATTATCTTACAATCCAAGTGGAAAGCAAATGGGTATTTAGGAGTTTTTAGTACCTAATTAAAAAGACAAGGTTTGCCAATCTACAGATTGAAAAATCCCCAATTCCAAGAGTTTTCATAAATAAAATATTTGTAGGCCAGGATGAGATAAAGCTATACACGAAGTTTCAGGTGGATGTTAATAATTGGATAAAAAGAGTTGTGTAACAAGGATGATCACATTCTTCTTCCATAATGTAACACTAAGCTATGGAAGGTAAAATGGCAGCTAAAGCAATGTTAATAAATGTCAGTATTTGGCATATGCGTGTTAAAAATACTTAGTCATAATCACTTACAATAAATTTGAGCTAACCTTACCTAAAAGCATGGTTTGTGTATAACTTTGATCAATAAATAAATAATAAAGAATTACTGTTAATATTTGATTCATCCTCATATTAAAAAAAACAACACTAATTTATATATTTTACAATAAAATTCAATAAGGTCTAATAATATCATATATAAAATGAAAATGATGTCAAAATAAATAATTTAAGCATATACATTTACCATAAATCATCAAATTATCAATTGGATTAGCAGTGCCTCTGCTAGTCACTTTGATGAATTTGGGCATCATATTCCTCAGAAGTATTTTCTCTTCGTAAGTGCTACCGCTCTCAAATACCTTTTCTAAAGACACTCGCACTGGGTCGTTTGGCATTAGCCAGGACGTGATGCTGTTCTCTGCCTTAGGAGGTTCCTCAGGGTTACTTGTCACTCGATGAATTGTCCAACCAAACCTGATAAGGACCGGCTCACCTGTAAAGTATATTTCAAATTAGGATAGTTAAGTAAAAAAATTGGTATGGTACACCACACAACTTTAACCTACCAACTCAACTTTAAGTAAAAATTAATTATTTGAAAAATAAATAAACTTTTTTTTTTTTTAATTAAAGGCTTCAAACATTAGAGTCATTATTGCCTTATTTTCGTTGAGAGTTAGATTCTATTTTCAAGTTTCGAACATTTCAGAAAAAAAAATAATTTGTTAATTTCATTGTCCTATAAAATGATGTGTAGATCTTTTGTAAAGTCACAAGATAGTCTAAATATTTCGTAAGCTCTGCATTCTGTCAAAATGTGTTTCACTGTCAGAGGAGTCCCACAGGTTTGGCTTGTTGGCGAAGAATCACGGGCCATCAGGTATCCATGGGTAAGGCATGTATGACCTATATACAGGCGCGTAAGAATTATTTCCTCTCTGGGCTTATTCCTATTTGATGATGCCCAAGATGAAACGTCACCCTTAATCTCCCTTAATTTATTTTCGGTAACATCTATTCCCATTTTATCATTTTCTGTTTGATGATGGTTATAAAATCCTCAACAGGAAGACCCCACGAAAGAAGTGAAAACAAGGCAGAATTTCCATACTTCTTCGATTGACCAGCCCTGATGAAGGCCTGAACTTCAGGCTGAAATGTTGGCAAATATAAAAATAAATATAATTATTTATATTTACTATTTATTGTTTACGCTGATCACCCCAATCATCCTTCCCTTCAATTATTCACTACAGTCAATCATCAAGCCACAATTATAATTTTATTTTGTTTAATATTCACGAAGTAATAACATTTACAATATATACAATTATAATTATGGATAAATTATTCTTTGTTCTATATTCACAAAGTAATACATTTTTTGGTGCTATATTGTTCACTTTTTGTCTCTCTAACACAGCATCATGTCAAAATTAGTGTGTTAATGTTGTATTCATATTAACAGGCATCTGTTGGAATTCTATTTTTATTTCTTTAAACACTAGTAATATTCTATATTTTGTATTAACTTTGTGAATTATAATTAGCTTACATTTGCAAATGTCAGTTTAATTATAACTGGAATTTATAACTTAATTTTAATGATAAATCTATTATAATCAGCATTTAAAAAAAGAGTTGTTATATAGTATCATATAGATTGGTCCATCTATCAATTAAATTTGTACTGATAAAAAAATGAAATGATTGAAGTGCATCCTGAGATGGCCGGTGACTTTAGTGTCAAATCATAAAAAAAACCACCGAGTATCAGAGAAAATCAGTAGATGGCAGATGGCATTAAAAATATTGTAATATAGATAAATAAGCAAAGATGATTATCATAAAAACATGGATGATTAATTTAAAATTTCTCTTTTATTTGTTATCCTAATTTTAAACTGAGTTTTCAATTATCTTATCTCTTATTAACACAAAATTAGAGATCATTGAAACAATTCTGTATATTATATCAACATCACTCACTTGAAGCTAACTCTTTCCGAAGGAGTTCAATAGCAGGCGGTGATATTGACCACTGACTTCCTGAATTGGTAGCAAAAGATACCACTCCAACATCTTCATATTCATAGTTGGAAAGGAATGTTTGAGCAGATCTAGATTTCTGGTAGGCATTACTAAAAATCTCCCAATCATGAGCAGTAATACTGTAAATAACAAGAAAATTAATTTTTAGAATATATATATGTATATTTGAAAGTGATTAAAAATTATAATATAATAAAACTTAGATTAATTGTCTCCAATGGAACCTAGGACGTGATGGATGAACTAATACATGGATAATAGAAATAACATTACAAAAATACCTTAACCTCTAAATAGTTGATCAGTTGACTTTAATTTTAGAATAAACATAAATGAAACACGTTAGCAATACAAAAACAATTTTTATAACATTACCACAAACGATTTACAGTAGAAAATTAATATTTACTCAAGTGATATGCAAGCTATACAACTTGTGGATTATAAAGTGATTAGTGAAATAAAATAATTGTTCCTTTTCTTTTGCTCCCTTTTAACATGAGCTTTCAGAGCAGTAGCATCTATATTGGATTACTTTCCTCTTGTTCTTTGATTTCCTAAAAATTTAATAATTAGTAAAAACATCATGGAAAATCTTTTTCTCATTCTTGCTCCTCAATAATGCTGTTGCAACAATAATTCCAAAATTTTGAGCCAATGGATTTATTTAACATATGTAATTGTTTTTATTTTTGTTTAAAAAGTAATTTTACTTTCTCAAATTACTTTCATCTAATAAAATATTATGGATACTTTATCCATCACTATCCTCTGTGGTGCTACAACTCTTACAGAGTCAAGGTCTCTTTGAAGCTTGGTCAGCCAGTTTTCTTTATTAGTTGCAAATGCTCTCCGATTGTGGATTCCTAAAATGGATCTTGTATCCGCTGCCACTCTATCAATCCATCAGAGACGAGGTCTTCCCACTCTTGTTCCATAAATCCTTTCATCTGGTGCCATCCTAGGAATTTGTTCCAGGGTCATTCTAATTCCATGTCCTGCCCTTTGAAGGCATTCTAATTTTATTACCCTTACAAAATCGTTCAGGTTCCATTGGCGCAAACTGGGCCATAAATCCTACCCAGTATTTTCCTCTCAAACCTAAGAAGAGTGGCCTCCTGCTCTTAACAGGGTTACAATTGCAACTTTGTAATTCGAGAAATCTCATTATCTGCATTTACTTGTGAACCTAGAGTAGAAATTCAAACTCTTTTGTTCATAAGTTCTAAGGGAGATGTTTATTTATATAAGGTAAATGAAATAAAGTTAACCTCCCTCCCAAAAAAAAATTATGACAAAAAGATGTCGTTTATGAAATTGAATTCAATAATTGTGAATCAGTATACATAGGTGAATCCATACAAATATTGAAAAAATAATGAACCAGCATTTTAAGGATTCAAAAAATATTAAATTACATAATAAAACAGCCCACCATATTATCATAAATAGGCATATATTTAATTAAACACGACCTAAAATATTATACAAAGAATCAAATAGTACAAAAAGAAAAATAATAGAATTTATTCATCACTAAACATATTAATAAAGTAATAAATCATAAAACAGATGCAGCCAAAATAAGAAGTCATTATGATTATATAATTAACAAATTAAATATATGAAATAACAAAACCTCTTGTAATCTGACCCCTAATACATAAATTAGTTCAGTGTCTGACTAGGCTCTCGCTAGAGTTCAGTCCACAATATAACTAAGGTGAATAAATTTATAACATGAAACTACATACAAATAATCATAATGACACAGAAAAAATTAATGCTTTTTTTAGGGATAATTTATAATAATAAAATTTATGACAAGTCTTTTATAAAATTAGATGATGAAAAGGTGAGTAATGGATAAGATTGGCAAATCAGTTATTGATATGATAAGTTATCAATAAATTATAAAAATATATGCATTTAAAAATATAAGTACAAATAACACAAATGTTTCTCGTTTCTAGTCTGAAGATGGGATAATAAAATGGATACTGAAATTTCATAAAAATAAAAAAAATGTTAGGAGAGTAAACTGTTGTTTAACTTTATTTCATATACCTTATAAGTCAAACTCTTTCATTCATCTTTTCAAATGAATAGCCTCCAATCACTGTGATTATTGAATTCAATGAATACTTTATTCAGTAATTAATAGTTATGTTTCTTTTTTCTTTTAATATTTTCCTTTCAATTAATCACACTATGAATTAAAAAAAAAGAAATTTTTTTTATTCTACCATACTGGTTAAACGAGTAACTTTTACGTGAAGTTATACAGTACATGTACACATACAAAGTTATTTTGTAGCTTGTTGAATATAAACAAACAATTACCTATCAATAGAGTTGTTCCTGACAGTGTATTTGTACACTGGTAAAAATGAACCAATCTCGAGGTACGCGGTCACCTCTGAGGGTAGGTTAGGCTCTCCGACGGTGTTACCTAGAGCGAACAGCACCAATGGGAACCAAATAACCGCAATGATTCCCATGAGGCATCCCCCGCCCATGATGTATTTCGTAATATTAGCCTTCTTTTCCCCTCTTGGTTGTGGATATTCATTCTCAGCTCTTCTCTGACACTAAAAATAAATAATACATAAAATAATTATTTATTTTTATAAGTATAACATTATAAAACATACACATATATATAAGTAGAACCTTAAAAATAAATTATTTTTAATGAAACTTGTCTAAATTAGTACATCTTTGAGAAAAGTACATCGTCAAAAATTTGTGATAGTGGACTTAACCGGTTCTTGCATCAAAACCTTCAATTTTTATTATGCAGTATTTATTAATAATAAAAATTGAAGGTTCCAAAAAAAAGTAAAGAGTTAATCAATTTTTGAAAGATAGATATACAGATGCTCGGCTATATTAAATTTATAAATAATTTGAAAACAATTTATAATCCAAAATTATTTTTTATTTTTTGAAAAATTTTTCTAAAAACCAATAAAAAGTTATTTCTTTTTTTAAATAACAGCTTATGTATGAAATTATTTTTAAAAAATAACATTTAAAAGAATAAATTATTATCATTCTTGGAAACGAATACAAGAATAGACAATCAAAAATAGTCAGCAGGTAGACTTTAGAGAGGAGGGAAAGTACCGTGTTTAGCAGAGGTACACAGCATGCTAGATACCACTATTCCCTATTCTCCCTCCGTTAGTTGCCAGCATGGAGGACCCATTCTGAATTATAGTCGGAACGAAATGGCTCGTTCAGTTCCACCAATAGAATTTGTTTCAATTCTTCCGATGGAACGGAACTAATACTAGGAACATGATTGTTCGTTTCATTCATTCTTCCAACCAACACATGAAGAGAGACTGCTCATCCCATTCCATTCTCATTTCTACTAACATCTGGAACAAGACAGCTAGTTCCATTCCGCTTTCATTGTACCATTATAGTAATTCGTGGTACAGACCCATTTTTATCAAATTATTAACATCAGCTTAAAACATTGTGAATAGCTTCATCTCATCGTAACCAACTATTATATTATTTACAAAAATTCTCAGAATTGGGATGTTTTCAATCTGGAGATCGGCAAACTTTGTCTATTTATTTCTACATTTATTTCAACAAATTTGTTTATTTAAATTTAATTATTCATAAATTCAATATAAAAGACGATTGAATCAATTTCATAACATAAGTCTTTTAATTATGCAAACTAAATTAAATTTAAAAAGAAATAGGTTTTATGCAAAGCATAACTTCAAAACATGTACATATTTAAATGTATATAAACATTGAAATCACAACATATAAACATTAAATAAGGTTTTCTTAATCTTTAAGGGTTCATTCTGAGGGTTAAATCTATCTCTTTCTCTAGGTAAGAGTTAGTAGAAACAAAAAGAAATTTTTATTTACATTTATTTCTATAAATTTCTAAAATTGACTAAAAGTAAACTTGATAACACAAAAACTTGATACTAACTTTTAATTGGAAAACATGAGCAAATATATCTTCCATTTTTAACCAGTCTGATAGAGTCATTGATGTATCAGTCCAAATCCAATCCATCAAAGCTCGAAGTTCAAATACAAAAGGAACCATCATGAACCTGTACAAAACATTAAACATTCATTTTGATATCAAGTACTTAATATAAATATTTAAGGAGTTGATTAATTTTACCAAGTTTTATAACAAGGATAATAAATTTACATACATATACAAACAAACATAATGGAGTACACATATACATGTCTAAGTAAAGAGAAATATTTGTTCTATTTTTCTTTTTTCTGGGAAGTTGTATGATATTCTTAGTTATTTGGCAATGATTACTTCCAATTAGCAACAATTGAATATATTTGTTGTACTATCAAAATTGCATGTTTACAAGTTTATGTTTCGGGATATTTACTTCTAAAAGCAAGATGTTGCTCTAGATGTTATATACCTAGATTTATTATAACATGAATTAGAAACTGACGATGGAGCACATTAGTTTTAAGCATTGTATCCACAAGATTATTGGGATTGTGGTTCTGAACATGGGAGTAAATATCCCGAAACGTAAACTTGTAAACATGCAATTTTGATAATACAACAAATATATTCAATTGTTGCTAAGTCGAAGTAATCATTGCCAAATAACTGAAAAATATATCAAGAGGTGATAGCATATGTGATAAAAAATGAAGTGAAAACTAAAAAAACATTTAAATAATTAAAAATTTCTTCACAGTAAACTAGATAAAATTTGCTTCAAATTAAAGTAGAGTTAGTCATTGTTAAAATCATTTAAAGGCAACTTTTGACCGGCTAAACTTAGCTAAAATTTTGTTTGAATGTGATATACCAAGAGCTCTCAAAATAAGAGTATAGAAGATGGTCCTGCAAGCAGTTGTTATATATGGAAGCGAGTGCTGGACACTCACACTCAACAAAGAGGGGCGATTGAACAGTTGGGAAAGAAAAATCCTTTATTTATGACCCAACCAAAGAAGAAAATCTTTGGCATATGAAGACAAATGACGAGTTGAAGAAGCTATATAATGCTGCAGACATTACATCCACCATAAATAGGGGAAGGATAAGATGGTTGGGTCATGTGCAAAGAATGGAACATGGTAGGCTCCCTAAAATGATGATGGAGGGACAGCCAGGTGGAAGAAGGAAAAGAGGCAGGCCTAGACTTCGTCAACTGAAAGACATCGAAAATGATCTAAGGAGGCTGGGTGTAGTCGAATGGAGAGGGGTGGCCGAAGACAGGTTGGTTTGGAGGAAGATAGTTTACTAGTAGAGGATGCCAAGGTTCTACAAGGACCACAGCACCATCGGATGATGATGATGATCCTTTGTTTAATGTTATTTGATATTTTGTGACCTAAAAGTAGCCGGGTTTCCAGCAAAAATGACAGAAAGAAATGAAAGAAATTATTACAAGGTTTTTTCCATGACCTAGAATATATAAAAATAAACATAAATGCATAAATACACTTTTTATTTATTAAAAAAAAAAGAGTCAAATAAATGATTTTTTTTTTAATACTTATCATCTAAAGTGATAATAAAACTGTGTTTTTCACAAATATCTATGTTTTAATCCTATAGTCTATGTTTAAAATAAAGAAACCTGCTGATTGCTTACATTATTTTCATGAAAATGTAAATATTAGGATTAGAAACATAGAGATCTGTGTAAAAACACAGTTTTATTATCACTTTAAATTATAAATATTTGAAAAATCATTTACTTAATAAATAAAACGTGAATTTATGCATTCATGTTTATCTTAATACATCCCTTGTCATGGAAAAAATAATAAAATAAAGTTTTGCAATAATTTATTGTAGTAATTTTTGCTGAAAACATTCACACTTTTTTGTGAAAACACATAGAAAGGATAATTTTTTACACAACTTGAGGTAAATCTCAACTTAATATGGAGAGGGTATCTGTAGTATCGGAGGGTGATCACAATAATCGCAAATAATTCATGATTAAAAAAAAAACAGAATCTCTTGTGGTTTACTATCGCCTCTTTGAATAATTTCCTTCGCTTGAATATGGTGTACATATATAAGAGAAGAGGCTCTCCCCTCTCCCCTCCCCCTACCAAAAAAAAAAAAACAACAGAATTTTGTCATAACATTTTTATTTCAAATTATAATCACTATAAAAGTAGTACCCATTTACTGTAATTCACTAGTCCAATTATTTCTGCCATTATTGAAAACTGTATTTAAATTCATTTACTGGAATGTAATTTAGCCCTATAATTTAAAAGGAAATACACCAAATGCAATAAAATAATTTTTATTTTTACAAGACTTAAAAAATTATTCTTTTAGAAATAAAGAAAAGAAAAACAAACATTTGTAAGGCATCATAAGAACACTAGCCTCAAACATGTTGTAGAAACATTCTTCAGAACTGAGATCTGAAGGAATTCAAACATTTGATCTTAATGTCTATGGATTCTAGAATAAAATATACATATTTATCTAACAAAAATTAATACTAAAATTATTAAACTAACTTACACTTTAAACAGGAACATATTAATGTAGTTATAACTCTTGCAAAGGAAATTTCCCAATATTCGAGTAGGATAGCCAACTCTAATCTGATATGCAGAAAGTAGAAGATATAAACATTTTACCATATACCACATTTGAGGGGGGATAGCTGCATTGAAATTCCTGAAATGTAAGAATTTATTATATTATAACAATTATAAGAAAAAGTGTTATAACTGTGAAAGTTATGTAACAAGAAAATCATAAAAAATGACTAAAATAATTGTTTTAATGATTTATTTTTTATGTAACCAAAAATATTGAAAACATTTGAATTTATATAGTTGATAATCTTGGATAAAAGTAATTTTTTTTTCTTATAGAAAAAATATTTGTGTTTAATCTTACACTACAGAATACATACACAAACAAATGAGTGAATCATCTGTAATGGAGTCAGTACATCTGTTGTTATGACTGATTTATATTGACTCTATTCCTCTTTTAAATTTTCTAATCCTTTCAACAATTTATGATTATTAGTTGGGGTAAATAAAATACAATTTCCGAAAAATTGTCAACCTAGAAGACCTTGCAAAATTGAACCACATATTGAAAATTTGGGATTCATTGCAACATTTTGTTCTAAAGCATGAAAATAAGAAACTCATAGGGAAAATGGGGTCAAGGGAAAATAAAAATATATTAAATAAATACTTCATTCAGTGTATTGTAATCGGGAATCAAATCTTTATAAAAAAAAAATTTCCATGGCAAATTACTAACAAGGAACAAGACCAAGAAAAAATATAAAGCCGAGAAATAAATATAAACATAAACATTTATAACAAAAGTTTTACAGTGTATGGTCAGGCAAAAGGCTATGTTAAATAGAAAACTTTTAATCCATGTTGGTATATACTTATTTTATGTAAATTACACTATTTTAATTGAGTAAATATAAAATATATACATATATGAAAACCAAACCTTTGTGTAACAGCTGGGAGAGCAAAGAACATCCAGGCATGTATACCAAGAACAAGAATAAACTGAAAAATAATCTTTCCCAAAATAAATTTTCTCAAGTAGAGAGTTCGGTCAATAATAATCAATGCAAACTGAAGTATTAACATAACCAGGAATGGAATAGGCACTTTGTTTTCTTCGAAATACTGGGACACTCCGCCATCTCCTTGGGATGACTAAAACAGAAAAACAATTAAATATTTTTTTTGTCATAAGTAGTTAAAACATTTTGAAAATAAACTTTTTAATGGTATTTGTTATTCTCCCCTTAATGCCAACCTCCCTAACTGGTTAGAACAGTTCTCTAAATGAGATGAAGTTAATTCTGATCTGCTTTTGTTAATATTCAGGTAAAAGCAGGAAATAATAAAATAGATATGAAAGTATATATATATATATATTAACTATTTATGCAAGAATATAATCACTTGAAAACACCTGTTGAGAAACTACCCACAGGTAGCAGTCTAATAATACGTCCATAGGAGATCACGAGGCCATCTTCTTTTCAGATGCCTCGGAGGGTTATCAGGAATCGAAGAGGAAGCAAGATTAGAAACAAGAGGATTCGGATGGTTATGAAGTTTATTATGGAAGGATAGGTATCTGGATTGGGCCAAATCGGAAACATATGGAACATTGAGAAATATATATATATTAAATGTTCATTGCTCCTGCTATTTATTCGACGTTTTTATCCTGTTTTTTTTAATTAAGTTAACAATGGGATCCTTTTCAAAGTTTTAAAATAGAGCCTCAATACCTCAGTACAGGGTCACACCGACAGCCACAGCACCGTCCACCAGCATAGATATTAAGCTACTTAATATTATTAAGTAGCTTAATATCTGTGCTGGAGGACTGTGCTGAGGCTGTCGGTGTGTCCCTGGCCTGAGGTATCGAAGCATTATTTTAAAACTTTGAAAAGGATCCCATTGTTAACTTAATTAAAAAAAAAAAAAAAAAAAATGGGATATAAACGTCGAATAAACAGCAGGAGCAATGAACATTAGTAGTTTATTGAATAATTATTAAGTGACCTTATTCCTAATTAAATAATTACGTTAAAATATAATATTAAAAGGTCGATTGCAGAAATGTTGTAAATATATATATAAAGATATGAATGGAAGGTTCTTGTTTAGATTAGGTGTGCCAGTGATTTTATCTAGTAACAGTTACTTATTGATAAATTAAGAAACATGTGTTAAAGAATGAGTTACTGCAGGTACCTCTGGAGGCCAAAATTCTATTATGTCCTTAAGGATTTTATCAAAAACGTCTTCATATGAGTTTCTCTGCCTCCACATGAACTCACATAAATACGAGTCTAACATAGAGAGAGATGAGTCCCACATTCCTTTTTGTTTCTCCTTTTGGCCTTCGCCCACATAGACTCAACTCTTTGAGTGTGAGCACCAAGTCTCTTGGTAGTGATTTTTGGAGTGATTTACAGTACAATGCCTGTAATCCTTTCCAATCATTCCTTCTATTCCATTATAGGACTTCTACAGGTCAGACATTATAATGTAACCCGATCTAATTGATGTTCTTATGCACTCCTCCAGGGTTTCTCTTCTCCTATCGGTCACTGCGTACAAAAAACACTCTTCAGTTTCACAGATCCTGCCAAACACCCATTGCTGTGGATGAGTCCTACATAATAATTTCAACGACCAAAACAGGATTTGTCTATCTCAATTGTCAGTCCTTTCCCTCCAATAACAATCAGGTTTTTTTCAGCAAACTAGTTGTGCACACCTCCCACAGATAATTTTTCCAATCTACAATTATAGCGGAGCTTATATTGAATTCTCTGAAACAGAATTTAAACGTCGTATACTCCTGTGCCCATGAGTAAATGAATAACAGGGCTTTACTTAACGGTAACCTGCTGTCCATAGCCACATACCTGTATATATGCCACATTCATATCAGCATTCTCTTTTGTTGCACCTATATTTTTTCTATCCTCGTAAAATTTCATGATGTGGCCTTTCTTGCAATAACTTTCATAAGATAGAATTCCTCTTTCTTCTAAGAAAATCCTGGCTCGTTCCTCTTCTTTGCATAAATAGTAAACTTCAAAAATATTCATCGTGTTATCACTTTATAACCGCAATTACACAAACAATACTAAATTAAATTATATTTAAACATGTGATTTTATTTCTATATCAATGATATCAAGTTTCATAATAACTGTTACTAAATATCATTAAAAAATCACTGGCGGGTCTAATCTAAACAAGACCCGAATGGAATATTTCATCTAAATCTGTAAACTTGGTCTTTCAATTAAATCCGTACTCTGACCAAAGAAGGGCAATATAAATATTTTGTTGATCTGGATCTATTATTTTTATTTTGTAATCAAATATTTATTGTTTTAAATTACATTATTTCATTTTTGAAATATTATTTCTATTTACATAAGTATATAAATATGCATATTAATATAAATTTATGATTACATGTTTGAAGAACTGTAAAGGTACCAGATTCCTGTTGGGCTACTTAAGGAATTAATCAATCAATAATATGAAGAATTTTATTATAAAATATTTTACATATTATAAATTTCAGATTAGAAGGTTAAATAGAATGGGTACAATAAGTAAAAATGATTAATAATAATAACAGAAAAAATAAAAATTCTGGTCACAATTTCAACTAGCAATTGACACGTTTTAATAATTGCTAGAAAAAGATGAATGAGTTATAAGTTTGAACAGTCATTCTTAAGGCCTTTCTAATAAATGGGTAATGAACGTTTTTTATGAGTAATGAATAAAATTAATAAAAAAAAAAATTTTACATACATGACCACTGAGATATATTGATTCAATATTGAAAGGAGATAGATATATTTAAACTTAATGGTAAAACCAGGAGTCTCCAAATTATAGCCCACAGGGTGGATGCGGTTCACGAGCGCCTCCAATCCGGCCAAAAAAGTATTTTTGAATACATGGTAAAATTTTAAAAACCAATTAAAAAATATGAAATTTGGTAAATCACTCAAACACGAGGTTACTATAACATTTATTGCATGAGAAGTTTATCTTAGAAAGCTTATTAGGAGAGAACAAAATGTTTGTTGTCATTACAAGTCGTGGCATGCGGGATGTGAATCTCGGGCCAAAAAGTTTGGAGACCCCTGGGAAAAAGTAATAGTTAAACTAAAGAATAATAATGATACAAAATTACCCCAAATGAAGCGAAGCCAAATATCACAACAAGGAAGTTGAAAAAATCACAAAAAAACATGTATGCATAAACGTCATCGGTCACTTTACCAGTAGGTTTTAATAATATTTCAAAAAATTTGATAAATGGCCAGAAAGCCTTTCGAGTCCTGAAAATAACAATATAAATAAAAAAAGGAATACAACAAAATTTTAATATAATAATTTTAAAATATCAGATACTAATACACAAGATTGAACTAAAGATACGAGATAAAATTTGGTTGAAGTATAATTATATTCATAAAGAATAAATAAAAGAAAAAAACTGAGAAGAAAATATTAAGAAAAAAAATAGTAGTTTAAAACCTTCAATTATTCAATGCAACTTCAGACAGTTATCAAAAGAAAGCAAAATACAAGAGCAAATCAAATATAGATGTTAATTATTTTTATTCATTTATTGATTAATGTTATACATAAACCATACATTCAGCATTTCTCAATGTAGTTTTTACCAAGTGATTTACTCATTTGCCACCAATTTGGTAGCTAGGATATTGCTTGTATAGAAAGAAGGCAAGTTGTCTGACAACTTTACATGTGATCCTCAATTTTCTCACTGCTTTAGAATGTCTCTCTTAAACAAGAAGGAAAGGATTGTAAATTGTAGATGATAAAAATTATCACCATTTATATTTAATTCTATCTTGTACAATTAATGATAATAAATTAATTAATTAGTTTGAACTCTTGTTCAATTGGTATCAATATTTTAAAAATATAAGTATCTGTTAGTATTTTTTTTTTAATTTAGCAACAGACTCTTTAGGTTAAAACTTGAGTGTAAAAGCTTCGTATTGGATAATTTTCATACACAGTGGCGCTTTTAATATCTTAGCTAAATCTTAAGAAGCGGAGTAGCTTAATGAGTTAGGCACTGGGCTGCTAAGCTCTAGGTATAAGATTTAAACCTGGCTATGGCAAATAATTATTTATTATGTTTCATCAGCCGTGTATCGACCCTGAGGTTGAGAGATCTGTGGGTACACTTAATTAAGAGTAAAAATCAGGGTGTTTGAGCGTGATCATGGCCCAATCACTTTCTAGCACAATTGTTGATCTTGAAACAATACTTCCTAACAAAGTACTGAATCCAAGACTGTTCAAGGGTTTTAGTGGTGCACGTACTTTTTTTTTAATCTTAGAAAGTTAGAAATTCTTTAAAAAATCTCTTAGTGCATTCTATGTTAAATCAGTAAATTACAGTAATACTTGATAACATTTATGTGTAGTAAACTTATCAAATTATAGATCCCTTAAATTTTAATTAAATTTAAATCTATTTATTTAGCTGTCAAACATCATTTTTATTATGGAAGAGCTCCTCATTTAGTAGCATGGCATTATAGCTTGAGAATTGAAGTTCCTTCTAGTGGTCTTTATTTTCTCCATATGCCAGCTCCTGAGCCGTAGGCTGTAAAAGAGCCATTGTGTAGCATTTTGTACCATTATTAGGTTTATAATACTTCATTTTATCAATGCTGACATAACACTTTCTGTCAAAAGTATTCTCAGATTTGACCGTCAAAGTTCATGGCTAATACCCCATCATTCTCAATCCAAGTTGTTTTCAATGCCCTTCCTGACTCAGGACCAAAAAAAATACTATTAAAATATATATTTAATTCGATCATACCCCCAACCCACATATACTTAATTTGATAACCCACAGAACTAGCAACCAATAGAGGTCAATAAACAACAATATTTTTTCTTTGACAGTCTTCCAAAGAACCCAGACCTTAAATTGCCACTTTATATGAAAATAATCTAATTACAAAAAATATAAAATAAAATAGCAACATAATAGTTCTAATAATACTTCAATTGCATTTTTGAAGAATGAGGTCGCTCAAATGGAGTGGCAACACTGCCATCAGATACTAATGCCACAGTAGTATCACCCTTATCGTTAGGTTTATCTTTATCCTTAGGTCCATCAAGCATAGTTCCTTCGTCAGTCTTGTAACTTTCCAAGTCGGATATGTCTGAATCGAATGAGCTTTTTGACCCGGTTGAATAAGTAGAAACTTTCCACAAACCAAGGGATTTAAGCATTAACCTGAAGAAAAAGCCAAGTAAGTAGACAAGTAATTTATTGACAATGTAGTAATCTGTTCATTTTAAATCCCAACTTACCTATGGAAAAAGACTACCAGTAATAACAGTAAGTCATAATAGGCATATGTCCCTGGCTGCCTCTCAATACCCAATATTCTTGGAAGTGCAAAAGGCGTATTGTCCGGAATCAGCTTCGAGTTCCAAGGTATCATTTCAAATTGGAACATGCACTTTACAATAACAACTATCTGTGGACACAAATATAATCAAGATTGTGTTAATGTCCATAATGTAAAACATAAAAATCTCAAATAAGACTTTGAATTTGGCACAAAAAAATAATAGTAAACTGAAAAATCTATTAAAACTTTGGTTCCCCAATCATAAATAAAACGGTTAGATTTGACTTTAAGAAGGTTTGAATTCTAAAAAAAAACACAAGAAAAAGGAAAATTTTGTAAGCTTCATATATTACAGAGAACATAAATTATACTGTTAATTTCGAAGCGGATTCACTGCAAACAGGTCAGAACTATGTGGAAATAATAATCAAAATTAATTTACAAATGCAAGGAAATGCAAACATTAAAAATAATGAGTTTAGTACTTGTTTAGATATATTTTTTATAATAATTTATGTTAAATTTTATATATAACAATGGTATATTGAATTATAAAACTGAATATCAAAAATAAAAATTATGAATTCTTAAAAGGGTGAATTAATAATAGGGCTGTGATTGTATTTGTTATAATATAATATTAATGAACTGGTTCAACAATATATAAAGAGAGTTTTAATAATGTAAATTCTAATTTTGGGATTGTAATGAGATTAAAATAAACAAAACCATAAATAAACATAAAAATAGTATTTGACTAATTAAATTATGACAAGGGCAATTCAGTACATATTGATTTTAATTGTTTAAAATAGGTATACGATATAAAGATGATTGTTTTATTTGTTAAAGCTTTCTTTCCTTGAAAATGGCCAAAGGGCTGAAACGTTGGTGTAGAAAACTTTTTTTTTTAACTATTAATTCAAGATATTTACAACTGTATTACAATATAAATACATCAAGTAAATGTGTACACAAGAATATAATCACTTGAAAACGCTTGTTGAGAAACTACCCACTGGTAGCACTTTAATAATATGTCTATATAAAGAGATCATGAGACCATATTCTTTTCAGACGCCTCGGAGGGTTATCAGGAATTGAAGAGGAAGCACGGTTAGAAATGAGAGGATTCGGATGGTTATAAAGTTTATTATGGAAGGATAGGTATTTGGATTGCGCCAAATCGGAAACATATGGAACATTAAGGTGATTATGGATTATTTTATTTGTGACAAAGTAAAGAGCATTGAGGATTTCACGAAGGATTTTGGATTGTAAGGATTGGATACGAGAGGAATTTGATGGTTTAGTGGAGCGCCATAGCTCAACTCCGTAAGTCCAAATAGGTCTTAGTATAGTCATGTATATTAGTCTTTTGTAATTAATTGAAAGTTTAGAACATTTGTATAGTTAGTGTTAACGTCGAAAGTAAGCGGAAACGTCGAGCAGTTTCTTGTCATTTCAGTCTTGTATGAGGGTTCCAAGTGAGACGTTTATCCAGGTGGAGTCCTAGATATCGGATTTGTTCAACAGGAATAAGTGGGGTGTTATTAAAGGATACTGTAGGACAGGAAGTCATAGGTTTGGTGAAGAAAAACAAGTAAAAATAGGGCTATGTGATCAAATATGTGTTTTTATTATTACTAAAAAGGTTAGGTTACTTAATGGTCATGTCTCTTGGATAATTATTACATATACATGAAACTATAAAATAATAAAAGAATTTTTAGTGAATGATATTTCAAAGATTCAACAAAAATATAAATATTGTTATCAAAAATTTGTTATCTTATTAATTAGAACACAATGGTAATATAGGGTTTTTATTTTTTTAAATTATTATTATATGCAACCCATATCTCTCTTAATACTTTAACAATATCAATGACAGATCCATCGTTTTCAAGATTTGCTTCACTGCTAATGATGACAAATAAACAACATAAAGCACAATAGGCAAAACTATTTTTCAATCAAACCCTTTGAATAACCATATATATGTAGCACAACTCACAGAAAAAGAGTGATGTATTTTATGGTTGTTTAAATAAATAATAATTTGAAAGATAAAATCTTACAAAAAAAAAAATCGAAATTCAAACATTATTGAGTTTTGTACTCATGTTTTGGTTTACTTTTCACATAATGAATCTTTGTAATTAATTAAGAAAAAAAATTAAGTTAAATTAAAAAAAAAAAAGGATAACTGAAAAACATAAATCATAAAATATGATTTTACTATAGATTATATTCCTGATTACAATTTTAAAAAAATACCTCAGTATAAGCGATGATGGTAACCCAAAAAGTCTTTGAAGGTCTCGGAACTGTGAGCGTGCCCCAGAGAAATACCATGAGGGGAAGTGGCAACGATAGAATCGTAGGTGATCTGATCTGATGCAGAAAGATAATGAAGTAGCAAACAAGTTCAGAGTGAGATAATATCACGTACCAGACGGCCATCAAAAGCCTCACGACAGGTGGTTGTGCCTTTTTGTCTAGTTCATCGACCTGTTCAAAGTCTTGCATAGACATTGGGCTGCAAACATAATAACTTTATATAAGATAAAATTTAAATAATAGTTTCTATTTATATCAAAATTAAAACAAATAAATAGTGCTCAATTATATATAAGAGAACTTGATAGGGGATTGCAGTCATAAGAATATAAAAAAATATTGACTTTCTTTGTGCTGATGTTTCAGAGTAAGTTTCAGGCTATCATTGGCGCTAAGCAAAGATCAGATAAGAAATAAATACTGAAAAAACAATCGGATATGTAACAATAATTAGAATAGTATATGTAAGTTGTTAAACTTAACATTAATATACATATATATGAAATGAAAAATTTACTATACATAAATTTGGGAAGTTAAAAAGTAATGGTAACAAGAGGCGACTAAGGAGAAGGGCAAAGGCCCTACAATTATCAAGCCCAGAAGATGAGAGAAGGCCACCTTTAGAGAACTCTGCCGAGGAAGCAAGGGCCCCAAAAGGCCTGGCGGACAAAGCAGAGAGTCGTGAAAGGGAGGCCTCAGATCAAGGGCAACTATCTAGCAAACTGGAGCCTACTCAAAGGCAGGCAGTGGAGGATGCAAGGGCCCCAAAAGGCCTGGCAAACGAAGCTGCCGCGCCGGAGGGTAAAGCTCCGATAACACAGGCAGGGGATGAGAAGGACGCATCCAAGAGGCCAGCATCTAAGTTTGCGAGGCCACGTAGGCCAGCAGCTAAGAGTGCGAGGCCTCAAAGGTTGAGGTCTAGATCAGGACTGCCTGGGGTGAAAAGAGCTAGAAAATCCCTAGGAGCCTCAGCTGTGGAAGCTAAGAAACCAAGGGAGGCTGTAAGGCCCAAAAACTACGCAAAGGTTGCGCAAGGACAGTTGGTAGCGGTAGTTCCTGTCGACTACCCGCAGATCCAGCTAACTTATGACCAATGCGAAGACTTAAAAGAAGCAATCGCAAGTAAAATTGACGAACTCACAATAGGCGGTGACATACATCCTAAGTTCGACGGGGCGCTGTTTAAGCTCGGAGGATGTCTTGTATCCTGCCTAGACAACCATACGGTGGAATGGTTTAGAAGTATAACACCGAGCATCACAATTAAAGAAGGATTAACCCTACGAACTTGTGAAGCAGGTGATCTCACAAAAATCATCAGGATTGGAGCCTTCTTTCCAGGAAAGGCACTACCTGCTGATTATTATTTAACTCGGCTCCAGATTCAGAACCAATCCATTACTGGGATTAAAACCTGGACCGTGTTTAACTTCAAGGCTCTGGAAAGAGGATCTTTTGGAGTTTTCAACATACCGGAGACTAGCCTCCAGAGCCTAACGGAACATGGAATGCAGGCCTGCTGTGGGATATACGTTATCACCTTCAGGTTTCTAGCATCAGGAAGTAAACCTGCTCCGGAGGAGATGAAAGAGGAGGCGCCGAAAGCAGGTACATCAAAGGAGATGGAGAGCAAGGAATCTTCCTCTTCGGGAAGGAGTGCGTCGAGGACGGGGTCGAGGCCGTCGGCTGGGGCAGGAGGCGGGGCTAAGCCAAAGGAACCAGTGAAAACTGGTTGCAGAGGCGAACCCCAGCCACTGTCGCGGTCAGGTGGCCAGACCTCTGTCTCGCGGCACCCATCTAACACTGGTGGTGGTTTGAAAGCGAGGCCGAGAGGCGGGGAGAAACCCAAAGACAAAGTGAAAACTGAGTCGGAGGGAAGAACCCTACCATCGGCCCCGTCTGGAAAACCACCTTCCAGAACATAAAAAAAAAAAACAATCAAAATATATGAAACTGCTGCAGATCAATATCCACCACTGCATTGCGGCATGTGGAGTGTTGCAACAGTACATAAAAGGTAACGATATTGATATTATATTAATTCTTGAACCTTACTTATATGAAGGCAGGATCAAAGGACTAAATATGCAGGGGTATGGAATAATATCTGCACCCACATATCCTAGAGCCTGCCTACTCTTTAAAAACAAACTAAAACTGCTGCCTCTATGGCAATTTTGTTCTAGAGATCTTGCAGCAGCCAAATATACCCAACAAGGATATAACAAATCACTAATCATAGCGGCGGTTTACCTGCCATATGAACATCCAGAGCCTGAAGAAGGAATGGATGAACTACTAAAGAGTAAGGAGGAAATTGTTGCTGCCCTGGATGCTAATGCACACAACGAGATCTGGGGAAGCACAAACACCAACTCTAGAGGTGAGAAACTCTTAGAGACTATTATTAAATATGATCTTGATATTCTGAACAGGGGGAATAAGCCTACCTTTTGTAACAGAATTAGGACTGAGATCATAGACATAACACTAGCGACTCAATTGACTAGTGACCTTATAGATAACTGGCATGTCTCTGATGAAGAAACATGCTCGGATCACAGATATATCAGATTTGATATATCTGATAGAATACAACATGATGTGGAATATAGAGACCCTAAGCGAACAAACTGGGTGTCCTATAGTTCTAACTTGGAGGAGGCTGTCAAATGCTGCCCCAAAGTTATCCACAATACATGGCAATTGGAAATATTAAATACTTCAATTACTGATGCTATGACTAGAGCATATTTGGCCAGTAATGAAGCTAAAAAAACTACAACCAACAGGAAAGTGTCCTGGTGGAATGATAGTCTAACAAAGCAAAGAGCACTCATGAGGAGATTGTTTAATGCTTCTAAAAAATCTGGCAATTGGGATACATACAGGAAATCTCTTACTGAGTATCACAAATCTGTCAGGAAAGCCAAAAGACAAGCCTGGAAAAGGTTTTGTCTGGAGGTGGATAACATGCCGGCGGTATGTAAGGTAAACAAAATACTGTCAAAACAAACCAATTCAGGTATAATGGGAACACTCAAATATGACGATAAGCACACCACGAATGAGATAGAAACATTGAGTGTGGTAGCAAAAGCTCATTTCCCAAATTGTTTTACGACAGTAAATGAACTTCTCGACCCCAATACACAGGATCGTGGTACTGGCGCACGTATGTGGGGTCAGGCAAGAAGAGTGATAACAAACAGTAGACTTGAATGGGCAGTGAATTCGTTCTCTCCTTTCAAGTCTGCTGGAATGGATGAGATCTTTCAAGCACTGCTGCAGAAGGGTCTCCCAGAAATAAGGCCATACCTTCTGGAACTTCTAAGAGGTAGCCTAGCACTGGGATATCTACCATGTAAGTGGAGGATATCCAAAGTGCGATACATTCCTAAACCAGGAAAGGAATCTTATGAAGACCCAAGGCATTTAGGCCAATATGTCTGTCATCTTTCTTAATGAAGACATTGGAAAAGATACTGGACAGACATATTAGGGAACACATATTGGCTACTAGTCCAATACATTCAAAGCAATATGCCTACCAACCAGGAAAATCCTGTGAGGTGGCGCTTCACAACTTGGTAACAAGAATTGAGAAATCCTTAGAACAGAGTGAAATCATGATAGGCGTCTTCGTTGATATCGAGGGTGCCTTTGATAGAACTCCCTATAACATCATAAATGATGCGCTAAGGAAAAAAGATATAGACGCTATGACCTCCAGATGGATTGGGAGAATGCTGGAGGACAGAGTTCTAAAATCAGAAATAGGGCACAAGGAACTGTGGATTAAACCCTGTGGGGGATGTCCTCAGGGAGGTGTGCTCTCTCCATTACTGTGGTGTTTTGTGGCTGACTCATTATTGGAAGCCTTAAACACTGCAGGCATTTATGCTCAGGGATATGCTGACGATATTGCCATCCTCATAGGAGGGAGGCATCAGAGTGTCCTCTCTGATATCCTCAGTACAGTGTTCAATATTCTTAGGAATTGGTGCAGGATTAAAGGACTAAGCATCAACCCTAGGAAAATCAATGTGTGTATCTTCACCAAGAAGAAGAAGGTGGCTATTAAAATGCCGGAAATCAATGGTATCCAAGTGACACTGAGTAAGGAAGTAAAGCACCTTGGAGTCACTTTGGACCATAAACTGACATGGACTAAACACGTTCAAAACGTGACAAGTAAAGCCCTCAAATGCCTATGGGCCTGTAAAAGAGCGATAGGAAAGAATTGGGGGCTAAAACCAAAAATGGTATACTGGCTGTACACAACAACAGTCAGACCTATCATACTTTACTCAGCTTTGCTATGGTGGCACAAAGCAAAGACTGTAGCCAATGTATCCTTATTAGGAAAGATCCAAAGGCTTGCTTGTATAATGATAACAGGCGCAATGAGCACGACACCGACGGCTGCTATGGAGGTGATGCTTGGCATGCCCCCGCTGCAGCTGGAGGTGGAGGCTCGGGCAACAGTTACACTGTACAGGATAAGCAAGTCAACTTACTGCTCAACAGTCCCCTGTCAGGGAGGACACACAACACTGCTGAACAGGATTGGAAGTGAAAGAGTGCTAGCTATGCACTCTGACACTCTAATCCGAGAACATCAGGACCGGAAATATAAGGTTGAGATAGATAGCAGCAGAATTCATAAACCAAATAGTGGAATAAATTGCTACACAGATGGCTCTCTAACAGCCTTCGGCTCTGGAGCAGGCATCTATCGCAAAGATATAAAAGAAAAAATTTCTATACCACTTGGCAGGTATGCTTCAGTGTTTCAATCCGAGATACTGGCAATCTGCCATTGTGTACAAAACCTACTGCAAACCAATGTGACTGAGAAAAGGATCACCATCTTTACTGACAGTCAGGCAGCAATAGGTGCTCTTGACAATTATTATGTTTATTCAAAGGTCGTTAAGGAATGCAATAGAGCACTTAACGAGCTAACTGAGCACAACAGAGTTGCAGTGGAGTGGGTGCCAGGCCATTCTGGCATACCGGGCAACGAAATGGCTGATGAGCAAGCCAGGTTGGGCTCAGATACTATTCCTGTAACTCCCGAGCCTGTCTGTGGAATCAGCCTTAGTACTGCCAAGGGCAGGATCAGGGAGATCTATGGGAACAAATTTAGGAATTACTGGACCGACAAGAAACAGAGACACTCGAAGCTGTTCC